TTTTCTGCAAAGGGACCAGGACGACTGATCCGTGTAAAGGAAAGAATGAATGGGGCCATGTATCATGAGATTTTGAGTGACAACCTCCTTCCATCAGCAAGGGCATTGAAGATGAAACGTGGCTGGGTCTTTCAGCATGACAATGATCCCAAACACACCGCCCGGGCAACGAAGGAGTGGCTTCATAAGAAGCATTTCAAGGTCCTGGAGTGGCCTAGCCAATCTCCAGATCTCAACCCCATAGAAAATCTTTGGAGGGAGTTGAAAGTCCGTGTTGCCCAGCGACAGCCCCAAAACATCACTGCTCTAGAGGAGATCTGCATGGAGGAATGGGCCAAAATACCAGCAACAGTGTGTGAAAACCTTGTGAAGACTTACAGAAAACCTTTGACCTCTGTCATTAAGGGTATATAACAAAGTATTGAGATGAACTTTTGTTATTGACCAAATACTTATTTTCCACCATAATTTGCAAATAAAGTCTTTAAAAATCAGACAATGTGATTTTCTGGATTTTTTTTTCTCATTTTGTCTCATAGTTGAGGTATGCCTAGGATGAAAATTACAGGCCTCTCTCATCTTTTTAAGTGGGAGAACTTGCAAAATTGGTGGCTGACTAAATACTTTTTTGCCCCACTGTATATATGAAGATACATCATTTTAAGATAAGGTTGAAGTCAATAAAATGTGTTTCAAGAGATTAAATAGGGATAATTATAGCATATATTAATAAAAGATAAAGGCAAGGTGACTTTGTTCTCTTACCTCCGTTTTATCGAATTTGATCTTTTAATGTGTGTTTCATTAAGCAATTTAAAATAACCTTTGTTGAAATATAAATTCAGCTTTGGCCACACCATGGCAAAAACAAGGCATGTATAAATGAAGACAAACCGCGAGAAGACAAAATACGTTCTGTTTTACATCCAATTATACACCTGCAAGGTATTTAGAGTTAAATCTGTCATCATCTCAGTGCTTCTGAGCTCCATGTTTAACAATAACCCCCGGCACTCCTATCTCTCACACACCAACAAAATCAATATTCCATCTACATCTCAGCCATCAGCCTCTGAGCTCGGCTCATCAGAATGCTCAATAGGTCAAAAATGACATTTGAAAGGCGGCGAATACACACACACACACCGATACGAACTAGCGACTTCTGACTGACAGGCACAAATGGCTGGGTTTGGAGCTGGTGATGACAGCCATTGGTATGTGTTTGTGTGTAAGAAGGAAACAAAAGCTTCATGTGTGGGGGGGGGGAAGTGCTACATGACAATATGGAACTGTCAGTTAGTGCAACACACACACATACCCCCCAACACATACACAGAATTGCGTTTACCCTCAGTCGTAAAATCCATCATAATTAGACCTGATTCAAATTTTCTCCAGCCGACAGGTTCACAAACACAAACAGTGACATCAGCTCCCAAACACACATGACAGACTTCATTAACAGTAGTGAGGTCCCTGTCAGTGTGATGGATGTCCACCTGGGTGGGTTCATGCACCCTCAGCTGTTTCCAATCAGAATGGACTGTTTCCAGTAAAAATGAATAATTCTGGTGTATAACAAATTGGTTCTTATGTTTGTCGTTTTGTTCTTTTGTTATAGCAGTAATGATAATATCTTGCAGTCTTTAGTTGATGACATCTGGAAACAAATGGGAGACAGGTAATAGTGAGAAGATGTAAAGAAGGAAGAGAGTTTGTAACTAACAAAAAGAAAGCGAGTTGGTTTAAAACCCGATCTGATCCAAATAGTTCTTGTTGCAATGTTACCATGCTCCCAGATCTTAGCATTATTGTGGGTACAGTGTTATATTGAGCAACCGATGAGATGGACACAATAGACCCAATTGTAATGAACCAGAAACAACTACTGTACAGGAAGTGTCAGAATCGGCTTCCTCACCAGATTAATTAACATCAGAAATAATAGTTTTTTGTGACAGTTGTTCCATCATAATGAATAAAATAAAAATATATTAAAATAAAATATAACATAGTATATAATAAGAACTAAGAATGTGCAATAAAAGATAACATAAGATAATTAAACATAAGAATTCAAGTAATATGTCCACCAAAAGATGCATTATTATTATTATTATTCGGCATTCTTAAATAACTTATTTAATTTAGCTCAGTTCTTGAATTTGGGTCATACTTAAAAGAGGAATCCAGTGACTTAGAACTGCAGCAACAAAAAAAACATAACTGATGCAGCCAGAAGCCAAAATATCCTGACTTCTGTATTCATTAGCCCACACACCCTGGATGCTTTCCTCTGATGCAACTTGAGAGGGTATCTTGGTTTGATGCTACTTGCCTGGTAAATCCAAAATATTTGTCTTTACACTCTTCAGTTAGTAACGTGGACTTTTGGGTAAATATTTTGTCTTTCAATCTTAAGTTTAGATACCATGGCAGTTCCGTCACATCATAAGGGTCATGATCTAAAGCTTGGCTGTCGGTCCAGAGCTGTAGAGGATGTGACAACTTGGAGCCTACACATGAGAAGGAAATTAAAAACCTTGAGTCAAGACGTGACTTGCATGGATTTTACTGCCTTAAATACTTTACTTTGCAAAAAATATAAACTCATGAGTGATAAGCTGTTTTGTATTTTTGATTATTATACCTCTCCATGGAAAGGACTTGAAGGATGTCGCCATTTTTGAAAGGAAATAGTTTAGTCATTCAAGTCGTCAGCGATTAGAGACATTAAAGACTTGCTTATGAACTTGTATTTTGACTTGAAACTTGTTTATTATAAATCTAAACCAGACTCGACTAGCCAAAAGGAGTCAAGTCCCACCATCATGGCATCATGGGAGATCGTTGGCCCTTTGTACATCCCAAAAGAAAAACTTTAAAAGTCTGCAGTGAGTTACCAAACACCATCATAAGTTTGACAGAAAGCCAACTGAGCTACCAAATGTCAGGTTTCAATCTGCATTTCACACAGAAGTGAAACAAAAGCGGAACAAAGACTCCTTTGAAGATGGGAAAACCACCTCTGAAAATGTAAATCTCAAACACCAGGCTTTAAAAAGATGCAAAATGTAATAAAACCAGAAGTTATTTCAATAAATCGGACTTTGACGTTAATCCTAGCTAAATCTTTGCGGTTTTATTATATCACAGGTTATGAAAGTCAGAGCTCAAAGGGCAGGAAGCAGCATTTGTCCTTGGTATACCGCAGCGGCTGCAGAAATCCACCGAGCCCCGAGGATTTGCATACATTTCCCTCGCCGCATGCGTTTCCTCTCGCCGTTGCTCTGCCTGGAGCTCTCTGGGGAAATCTGCAGGCAGCACAAGGCCACGCGAGTACAGAAATCTGAGCTAAGAAAAACAGCAGCTCCAAGTTTATTTCATGAATAATATGCACTAATAATAAATCCTTCTGTATGAATTATTTCAATAACATACAGTACGGTATGACCTCAAACGGGGGAAAGTAGGAGTACCACTATGAAACGTCAGTAAAAAACATCTTTATTCATTCATCATGATAAAAGATAAAAGGAACTGAAACATATGTGGAACTGCACCCGAAACCCATCGAATGAACGTTGCAGAATTCTCCAAATGATCTCACAGCATAACACAAAATCAACTGTATTGCTGAGGAGAAAGGGATTTTATTTATTGACTAAACTACAAGAAGCACACAAAAGAAAAGTGAAATGAAAAGACAAAAATGAAACTAGCTCATGAAGTAGGCAGATTCTACCTCTTCAATGTCTTAATGAAACAGAGATGAATTCAGTCACGACACGGCCTGCAATACTGCTGAGTCAGTGGTTTTGTCAGACTGCAGAGAGTTAATGTTCTTCTCTGGGCACACAGATACAAATATTAAAATCAAACCACTCTGATCGATGCATTGAAGCTGGAATCACACACTCATTCATTTAGTCGGTAGTGTTACATCAGCTGGACATTTAAATAAAAAGCTAAATGAAGTGTGTGATAGAACAAGAAAATAAAAACTCTTGGTAAGGACAGGTGTGAGAGTCGCTGACATAATTTGATCAATTTGGATATTTGTACTCACCCTAATACTATAGCAGCAACCATGATCTTTCTTATTTTGTGTATAAAGATGTTAACTGTCATATATTGGGGTATCAATACAGTTGTTGACATATGGACGTTTATGTTTTAGAACCTCCCAACTTCTTAACCACAGAAAACTGATCATAAGGCAAATAACAAAATCACTTTGTCAGCTGTAAAAAAAGATGAGTTCACCCTGCTGCTATTCGATTCGAGGACAGCAGTTGTTTTAATTCATAAAACACACAAAGGCCCTCGAATGTGTGTATGTTCTGTGGCTCTTAAATAGTTCAGCAATGGAAGCAGTCAGTTTCCTGCAGTCTGCAAACACCTAGATGAGCTTTCTGTATTGCACCGAAAGGGTATAACCGTGTAAAGTCACAACGTTCTGGCCAACACAGAGAACAGGCTCATTTTAAAAGATAATATGCAGTGACTTGTAAGACTGAAATGTTTATTTTTTTTAACTTGAAGAAAAAAGGACAGTTTTTTCCAAAATAGAGACGACTAAAATTAAACTAGAACATTTTATTTTATGATTTGTTTTGAGGTTAATAATTATTTTTGTAGTTTAAATGTTAAGAACTGGGTATCTTTTGAAAGTTTTGACTTTCAACACTTACCCCCCAAACTATACTTTTCCTGTCCTATTTCTTAATTAAAAATAAAGACACATTTACTTTTGTGTGTGTTGCTGAAAGCACAAATAGCTAAGCATGAACTTCTTCTATTTGTAAGCAAAAATGTCATTAAATAAAATATATGAGGAACCATCTGATCAAAAATGTATAATTAGCAAAGATAATTGTTTTAATAATTTGTTTTGTTTGAATTTAAAAGCATGAATATCCCTTATTAGCCACCGTAGAGTTTTCCTCATGAAACCTGATCAGGCTGACCCGAGCAGTAAATTAGTTGAATCCCACAGGTCTGTTATGAGCTCTTTCAATCAAACTCAATATCTAACGCTTAAAAAGATGCTGACCCTTTACATTTTCGTTAAAAAATATATATAGGCATGTATATACATTATTATTTCATTATCTGTAAACGTTAGGCTTTTAAAAAAAAAAAATGCACCAATCTTGATAAAAGTGGATATTTAAAAAAGAAAAGAAAATAGCAAACAAACCACTAAACTCCTTTTTTGATTGATAGATGTAAAATAAATAGAGATAAGTTAAAACGTATGTACAAAAAGTAGTAGTTAAAAAAACACAACAACCTCCGAAATGTGGTGAGTGTTTGATTTGCGTCATTTGTACCATTGACGCTGAAAAAGTCACAGCTTGAAATGAAATGTAAGAGACCGTGGAGCCGTCACAGTTGTCACGGCAACAGAAAAAGACAGCTGTTGACAGTCGTATACTGTCTCGGTTGTTCAGTCACCAAAACCTGTTTTTTGCAACTACGTTCCTCCTCAAGCTGTTGGACGGATGTATTAGTGCAGATTGTAGTGTTAACCCCTCTTTCGTTGAAAAATAAGAAACTCCATTTCCCAGGTGCCCCCTCGCCAGAACGTCTTTTGTGGGTCCCAGGCTGGATTTTTAGTGGTTGTTGTTGTCGTTAAGGCCTGGGCTGGTTGTAGTGTGCATGTGTGCGACAGAGTGTAACATCGGGCTACACCTGATCCACCACGGCTCCCTCTTCTTTGGGTGGAGGATCTAACTGAATGGGAGTGACACCGGTTGGTTTCTTCTCACTAGGTGGTGAGACAGAGATGGAGAGACAGGAAGAAGGAGACAGAGAGTGGACAGGCAGTGGAGAAAGATGAGAAAAAGGAAATATAGTGAGATTTGTGTTTGCTGCTGCGTTGGGGGAAGGTTATCTGTTGGAATTGTCATTTTTCACCTACCGTATGGCAACAAAAACAAATAGAAACAATGGTTGTTGCTGATTTACTATGAATACATCTGCTTAAATTAAACTACAAAAGACAAAAAGAGCAGACACAAGATACAAAAATAATTGTCCACAGCCAAAAAAGTATCAAAGTCAAGCTGAAGATTAGTAATGTTTGTTGTTGGGTCGTTCGTTTTTTGGGTCTCATCTTCCACATTTTGCGTTATGGATTCATGTACGAGTTATCGTCAAAACTTGATTTCTATGTGGAGACGCCTGGGTACTACACCCAGTTTCCATGATCACACAACCATTGTTTCAATATTATTTAAGCAGGGATGTGAGTTCTGGAACAAACACAGATCTAATGAGTTATTACACTTAAGTTAAGTGTCTGAGTGAGCAGACGCACTTTAACCAATACAGCTAACCGTAAAGGCAAGTGCCTCAAACACACCGAGGAGCAACATGAAAATGAGGCGAATCTTTTCCCCAAGCTTTCATTAACCAGATTTTTTAGATGATTTAGCCTCAGGTCTGCTTTTTGTACGCAGTACCATCTGAAGCCACAAGATGCAATACTGCAGATCACCCTTTAAAGCTAATGATCGACCCTCATTCTTGCAATATGTTGTATTTCAGCAGTAGTAGAGTAGTATCTGCTTATTTGACACAAATACAATTGTGACATTTTGAAATGTTTTCATTTCAAATGTGTAACTGAAACATAGACAGACGAGGAAATGTACAGAGGGCGGACCATGCAATCTTTACGAACAAAGGTATAGCTGACACATAAATTGAGTTTACTCACGAGTATGGGGAGATTGGCACAGCAACCACGAGGACATGATTTCTTTTCCTGAAGAGCCGCCACAGGCCGCTGTGGTATCCCCGAACATCCAGGTCCCAAACATGGAGGCACTGAGCAGCAGAAGGACACAAATTATAATCCTGTTCATTATGGAAAGGTTCAGCAAAAGCATAACACATATTTGCCTTATATATTTTCTTCCTGTGACAAAGGTAAGGCGTCAATAACAGCTCTAACAATAAACTGTAGTACCTGACCACCACAACTATAAAATGACCAAATCTAATACCCAAAACATATTGACAGTGAAGGTTAGTTTAACTTATATATAAGCTAATTTACACAATGAATCATCCGCTCTGCAGAGAGGGTGATCGGCTGCAATCTGCCAGCCCTCCACGACCTGCACGCCTCCAGGACCCTGAGGCGGGCAGGGAAGATAGTGGCCGACCTCTCCCACCCTGGACACAAACTGTTCACCCCCCTCCCCTCTGGCAGGAGGCTGCGCTCCATCAGGACCAAAGCCTCTCGCCACCTGAACAGTTTCTTCCCCTCCGCTACCGGCCTCTTAAACAAGGCCCGGCCCCCCCACTGACACTTTACCTCAGCCACAACGTAGACTCTATATGCATTACATTAATGCACACTATGTACAACAATATCTGTTTTCTTTTCTTATTATTGCAGATTTGTATTTTTATTCCAGGGCTCGACAGTAGCGGTTGCGAGGTTGCCATTGGCAACCATTCAGAACATTTTTCAACCACTTCTTGTCCTTTGGTTGCCATCAGTGACAACCAGTTTTTAACATGAACCCGAATGAAAGCAAAGAGGAAATGTGTAAAGTCTTGGGACGCGAAACATATACAGTGGGGCAACAAAGTATTTAGTCAGCCACCAATTGTGCAAGTTCTCCCACTTCAAAAGATGAGAGAGGCCTGTAATTTTCATCCTCGGTATACCTCAACTATGAGAGACAAATGAGAAAAAAAAATCCAGAAAATCACATTATTTATTTGCAAATTATGGTGGAAAATAAGTATTTGGTCACCTACAAACAAACAAGATTTCTGGCTCTCACAGACCTGTAACTTCTTCTTTAAGAGCCTCCTCTGTCCTCCACTTGTTAACTGTATTAATGGCACCTGTTTGAACTCGTTATCAGTATAAAAGACACCTGTCCACAACCTCAAACAGTCAAACTCCAAACTCCACTATGGCCAAGACCAAAGAGCTGTCAAAGGACACCAGAAACAAAATTGTAGACCTGCACCAGGCTGGGAAGACTGAATCTGCAATAGGTAAGCAGCTTGGTGTGAAGAAATCAACTGTGGGAGCAATTATTAGAAAATAGAAGACATACAAGACCACTGATAATCTCCCTCGATCTGGGGCTCCACGCAAGATCTCACCCCGTGGGGTCA